GAATTAGTCTAGAATCGATTAATTTTATGGAAGAAAACCTTTCAAACAGCCGTAGTCCGTAAACTTCACACGTGTCAAATACGTGAGCCAATCACAGCCCAAGGATTCCTACAACGCGAAATTCGTATAACGAGGAACGTATCTTCGCGTTATAGGGGGTCTACTGTACTGTACATTTACAAATATGTACTGTACGAACATGCATTCGTAAATTTAGATTACTTTTTTCTATACTATATTAAAAACTAAAATTTATTTGTTTGTAAGCTTAAAATAGATCCTTATTAAACATATATTATTAAAAATGCATTAATAAATAAAATACAGAATCGGGAATGGTAATTTATGGTTTAGCCTAGTGACAAGTAGATTTGGAGACAAGTAAATTCGACTTACGTCGCTTTCCTGGAACCAATTACCGACGTAAGGCGAGGTATACCTGTATGCATATTCCTAATGGAAATGCTGTATTGTTGAATATGGGATAGTTTCCATGACGAAAATATCTAAATCGTTTAAAGCAGCCAGATTACAGGCATTTACGCATGCGCTTTACAAAGCACCTACCTCTGATGGTTTAACTCATGGATACTACACACACTAAAATATCATATAACACTACCAATGATTCTATCCATTGGCTACTCTTAGGGAGCTATTTGACTAAGTGGATTGTTTTAAGATTTAAAAAGTAAAGAAGATTTTATGTATCTTTCTTTACAAAGCTATATTTAATTACAATTTTCTGTTAATTATAATTATATTGACAGATTTTCAGTTTTTATCAGTTTTATATGTTAATAATTTTAAATATTATGAAAAACAGTTTTCCGAAGCAAATTTTAATTTTTTAAATTAAGTAAATTTTATCGAGAATTTTTTGATTTATCTACATTATGTAGTGAATTGCAATATTTATATTCATGTCCAGACTATATTGGCAAGTCACTCTTAGACATAAAAAATATTATAACTAATGATGATCTGAACAAAGATATACTAAAAGAATTATATGATTTAATATCATTAATTTTTATTGTATTATCTACAAGTGGATCTGTTGAGCACAGTTTTTCAACCATGAAGTGAATTTCTACATTTGCAAGAAACACTCAGTCAGAG